TAGGGTTTAGGAATCTTTTCAGAGAACCCTGGGTGGAGGTCCGTAGACTCCGCAGACCGGGTCCCTGGTTTTGAGGTCTTGGTGGCCCCTTAGTTAAGCTACAATTTTTGAGGCTCAAGTTCGAGTCTTTCGACTTACAAGAGCCTCTGGCCTTCGAAGCTAAGAGGTTGCGATTCTCCTTTCGCCCTGACCAGGACGACGAGGAGGAGGAAGAGGAGGACGCGTCTCCTCATGGTTTTGCTGTGCTGCTGGTGTACAGTAGGCGCCTGGTTCCAGAAGGCTCTATGTTCTACACCCTAAACCCTACACTACTGTACANNGGGACCATAATTTTGACACTTACCCAGATATATAGGAGTTTAAGGTTTGGTTGCAGCTTTTTTGCAGGGTTGCAGGCGGAGTGACGGCATTGGGGCATTTGGTCTTTGACGAAGGTTCGGGGAAGTGCATTCAACATCTACGGCACAGTGGTTGTACCGGGACATCCCGAAGCATGCTACGACATCTATGTATAGAGGTCGGAGTAAGTAGTAACAGTATCCCCATATAGTTCCCTCGTAGTTATTCCATGATATACCCCCTCCTTGTGAAAGAGCTTTTTCTACACCTTGAGGCCCCCACTTCAAATCACGGGGTCCTCAGCTTCCACACAAGGTGTAACGTCAGGCTGAAGGGCCTTCAGGCATGGGACATTTGGGTAGCAGGGGTATAGGAGGTCTACTCCCAGCTCCTTAAGGGTTTAGGGTATCCTCTACTATAGCCTAGGCATAAGCACACACCAATTACGTGGGACTAAAGACTTCCGAGGCCATTCAGTTAACCTGAGGGGGTCCTGGAAAGGTTTTAGGGTCCAGGACATTTTAATCCTAACAGTATAGCGCTTAGGGCATGAAGAATGGAGACGACTGTGTGTGAGTTTTAGGAGTTCACGGTTTAGGGTTTAGGAGTTCAGGGAGTAGGTTCATGTATCCCATGCATCCGAAACCCGAAGCCGCGCACCTCACTGAGAAGCCCTCTCACTTCCTGACTTTCTGGCTCCGAAACCCTACAGCAGAATCCAACAAGGAGAACTTTCGTCAGTCTCCTGTAACCCGAACTAAATTCGGGTGCAGTGGGACAAGGAGCAAAATGCCTCCTGTTTCCACTATTTGCCCTGACCCTGAACCCTAAACCCT